AAAAACAATGACCGGCTTGTTCATCATCGTACGTCCAGTGTCTAGTGGGCACATGAGGAGTGCCCAGTAAACATCTGTTGAATGGATATGTAATAGAAATTATAGATTGTATGTAGCTGTGGGTCAAAAGTACAGAGCCTAGCTCCAGCTTACTCAGTTTATAATAATCATTGCTTGCGTTTATTGAGTCTACTATGTACCAAGGACTTTACATGTATTATCTTGCTAATCACAAAGCAACCTTATGAAATAGGTAGTATTAGCCCCTTTTGAAAGATGAGAAAATTGAGGCAGAAGAATTACCTGAGCTCAGCAGATTGAGGCTGCAGTGGCTGTGAGCATGCCACTGCACTCCAGCCTGGCTGACAGAGTGAGACTCTGACTCAAAAAAAAAAAAAAAGAAAGAAAAAGAAAGATGGGAAAACTAAGTCTTCGAGACAATTCATGACTTGGGTGATTATATAGTAAGAAGCCCAGATTTGGCCCGCCTAACTGCAGAACCTAATCCTAGTGTGTCTTCATACACAAAGGCTCTTCAAAAAGCTCATGGAGAATGTGTATTACGAAAAAATTACGAGTGAATTTCAAACATTTTTTTGCACTCAAACAAACTCATACTAACTTGTTACAACATGTCTGAACAGGATCTAGTTTGAGGCACTAAGAAGCGATGAGACATCAATTTGAAAAGAGCCCCTATCAGAGGAACATGAATTCTGCTAAAATTGAAGCAGAGAGAGACAAACATCAAAGTTATGATGAAGCTTGAGTGGAAGAATGAAATCACTGATGCTTTATGAAAAGTTTACGGCACAATGGCCCCAAATAAATCAGCAGTTTACAAATGGATAACTTGTTTTAAGAAGGGATGCGATGATATAAAAGTTCATCTTGTTTGTGCCCTAATTGAAGAGAACCAATGATTAGCAGCAGAAAAAACTGCCAACACTATGGCCACCTCAATCAGTTCCACTTACAAAGCTCTGATTAAAAAATTAAAGTTGAACAGAGATTCCACTCGATGGTTGCCTAAACAGTTCCTTGGTGATAGGTAAGGACTGTGGAAAATCTAATCCAGTCATCAAGGGTACAGTTCATTGAGTGGCCAGCACCACCACAATCTTGCCCCAGCATGAGAGGTCTGCACCCAGATCAGCTGCAGATCAGAGCTTTCGATAAAAAATTTAGACATGCAGGATTTTGAAGCATTTCTTTGAAGGCTTGTAACAGGAGAGGAAACATGGTTTTACCAGTACAATCCCAACGACAAAGCACAGTCAAAGCAATGGCTACCAGGAGCTGGAAGTGGTCCAGTCAAAGCAAAAGTGGACTGGTCAAGAGCAACGGTCATGGCAACAGCTTGTTGAGATGCTGAAGGCATTGCATTTGTTAACTTCTTGGAGGGCCAAAGAATAACATCTGCTTGTTACAAGAGTGTTTTGAGAAAGTCAGCCAAAAATTGAGCAGAAAAATGCCTGGGGAAAATTTCACTAGAGAATCCTTCTCCACCTTGACAATACTCCTGTTCATCCCTCTCATCTAGTCAGAGCAGTGGAAGAGTGTTGATGGAGGAATCTTAGGTATTCACTTTACAGTCCTGATTTGGCTCCTGACTTCTTTTTGTTTTCTAATCTTTTTTTTTTTTTTGGACAGGGTCTTGCTCTGTCACCTCGGCTGTAGTGCAGTGGCACCATCTTAGCCCATTGTAACCTTGAAATCCTAGGCTTTAGCAATCCTCCTGTCTCAGCCTCCTGAGTAGCTAGGACTACAGGTGTGCACCACCACATCTGGTTAATTAAAAAAAAAAATTTATAGAGATGATGTCTCACTATGTTGACCAGGTTGGTCTCAAACTCCTGGCTTCAAGCCATGCTCCCACCTCAGCCTCCCAAAGTGCTTGGATTATAGGTGTGAGCTATCATGCCCAGCTTGTTCCCAATCTTAACAAATCTTTAAAGGGCACTCCGTTTTCTTCAGTCAATACTGTAAAAATGTCTGCACTGAGATGATTAAATTCCTAGGACTCTCAGTTCTTCAGAGATGAACTAAATCACTGGTATCTCTTACAAAATTGTTATGAACTTGATGGAGCTTAAGCTTAGAAATAAAGCTTATAATTTCTTTTAATTTTTAAATTTCATTTTCCATGAACTTTCTGAAGTCTCCTATTATTACTCTCCTGTTTACAGCCATACACTTGTGTTGTCTGTTTTTGTATATAGAATGATCATTTTATGAACTGGGATAAGAAAATGACTTAATCCTTGTGAACAACTTAGATGTGTCCACCTTTTTTTTTTTTTTTTTTGAGTTGGAGTCTCACTCGGTCGCCCAGACTGGAGTGCAGTGGCCGCTCCCGGCCACCGCAGCCTCGACCTGCTGGGCTCCGGCGATCCTTCTGCCTCAGCCTTCCAAGTAGCCAGAATTACAGGCATGCACTACCACGCCCAGCTGATTTTTTGATTTATTGTAGAGATGAGGTCTCGCTGCCCAGGCAGGTCTCGAACCCATGGGCTCAGGCAATCCACTCACCTCAGCCTCCCAAAGGCGCGGGATTACAGGCTGAGCCACCGAGCCCGGCAGATGTGACCACCTTTATCTCTTTGAGAGAGCTGCAGAGACATGGAAGTAATATTGTTATACAAAATCTTGTCTATAATGGTATTTATGGTAATGATATTTCACAATCCGAGGCAACTGAGAGGCAAAGAAACCGTTTTAATCACGGTTCTGGGTAGTAGGTGTGTATACGTACAATAAGTCCCCTACATACAAACCTTCAAGCAGTGAACTTTCAAAGATGCAAACATGCATTCGCATGTCCAATCATGTAAGTTCACATGTCTGGCATATATTGCATGTGAATGAAATGGCAGCTTGCCCTCCATCTCCTGTTGCTGACGAGCCTTCAGCTCTGCCATCCCACCTCCTCTCCCTCCTCCTGGCAGTCACTTCTCTTGCCTGTTTATTCGATGCCAGCCCCTGTGTGCAGCTGTTGTATTGCACTACTATGCTTTTTAAAATACTGTACTATGAGTAAAAACATTTTCTTTATTTTTTGTTTTTTACGTATTATTTGTGCGAAAAGTATTATAAACCTGTTACAGTACACTACTATATAGCCAATTTTGTTAGTTGGGCAACCAGGCTAACTTTGTTGGTCTTACAAACATGCTCTCAGAGTGGAACTCATTCCTATGAAGGGACTTACTGTATAGGAAAAGGTACCATGAAGAGTAAATTCCCAGGTACCGTTGCATAAATTCAATTTCCTTTTGTGAAACAGCTGCTAAAAAGTCTGGCTCATAACCCTGCCTCATTGAAATACAGCTCAGCAACACTCAATCGTTCTATGCTTACTACTTGTTCCCTCGGATTGTCAGGTTTTTTTTTTAGGTCCGGATGCTCCTCACCTTAAGATGGGGCAACATCTGGATAAACCCATCTGTAAAGTTGAAGAATCATAAATCGGGGGCAGGGTAAACCGGGGACCTTCTGTATGTGGTACAGCAATTATCTGGGCCGGGGCAATGGCTCAAGCCGTAGTTACAGCTTGGGAGGCTGAGGCAGGAGGATCGCTTGAGCTCAAGAGGTCGTGGCTCCAGTGAGCTATGATGGCACCACTGCACTCATGCACTCAGGTGTAGGCGACAGAGTGGGACCCAGTTTCTGTTTTAAAAAGAAGAAAGGAGGGAAGGAAGGAAGGATCAGCTGTTTATTTTCTATCTACTCTGCTTCCTCAAGTAAATTGCCGGAAGGCAGGGACTCTTAGGCTTCCTGGTCATCTTTGCTAGGTGCTCATTGTTGTTGGCAATGACAACCATGATGAAACAGGAAGAGGTGCGCTTTCTAGTTCGTAGACGAGTACGTCTGAGTACACTGAGTGCTCTGCCGCGCTCCCTTGTTGTGCTCTTGCATTAACCCCAAGGGACCCCCACCGCCAGGCGAGATTCGGTCCTTTTCCTTAAGGACCTGCAGCCTTGTCCGTCCCTTCTCCGGTAGTGGCGGGTAAGGGCTGTTGAAAATCTATGTTCCTCCGTCTCAGGTGGAGTCTGCAGAGTAGGCCAAGAGAGGCACGGCGCCCGCACCTGGCGGGAGATCTGCCGCCGGCCTGTAGGAGGCGCTCCAGAGCCACTCCGCGCTCCTTTCCTCTTCTGGTTTTCCTCCGAAGGGCCCAGGAGAGACGGGGAGGGCCAGACGGCGGGGAACTGGGGTCCCTTCCAGCTCCGCCCTGGGGACACACCCCCTCCACCTCCTGATGCACCCTCGCTGACCCCGGGAAGGCAGAGACGGGCTGTTCTGGGGGATCGCGCCGCGGGCCGGGAAGGGCGTGGAGCCCAGGGCGGAGCCCCGGCGGCTCCTGGATCCCCCCACCCGGGCTGC